GAGTGATCCTCCTCCCTCAACCTCCCTAGTACTAGGACTAGGTGCACTACCACACCTGGCTAAGTTTTAAAATTTTTTTGTAGAAACAGGGTCTCGCTATGTTGCCCCCGTTGTTCTTGAACTCCTGGCCTCAGGTGATCCTACTTTCTTGGCCTCCCAGAGTGCTGGGATTACAGGTGTGAGCCACTGTGTCCTGCCATATATTGTTTATACACATATAATGACATAGCATATGATGTGAAAAATATGCACAACATATTAAGTGGAAAAAAAAACTGACTGCAAAATAGATTCTGCCCCCACTTCCTCTTGACTTACTAGTATGTTCAAATGTTACTAAAATTATCTAAGCATCATTACTTTAACTTAAAAAAACATTTGAAACCCATGGGCTTTCCCTCTCCTTCTCCTCTTTCCCCCTCTTATTAGTTTACTCATTATACAAATCACACTAACCAAGTAATTCAGCTTGGATTAAACATTTATGCATGACTTGGCACATTCTACATATTAAATAATTCCTGCTATTTTATACCATTTCCAACTTATTTATTTTAAAAGCAGCATAATATAAAATGAATTATTATAAAACATTTTATAAGTTAAAAGGCTATACATAATTAGAAAAAAGAATATTTTTAATTTAAACAGAAATTACTGGCTCTTTCTAAACAAGGAAGTAATCTGTTTAGTATTTAGAAAGAAAAAAAAAGACTATGATAGTATTTTTTTGACATAGAACAGTAATCAAAGCCATGGAATATTATCATATATTAAGTCGTAGAAAGTGCTAGGAACTATTTTCAATAGCTTTTCATAAGGTCCTCAGGGTAGGGTACCAGTCTTATTTATCTAGAACTAGCTCAATGCCTGCTAGGAAGTATGCATTCAATAACTGTGCAAATATGATCTAATTACTTAATACTCAGTGACCCATTTTTCCAATTAAGAAATTATGCCTCAAGAGGATAAAGTATCTCATTCAAGGGCCCACATTTCCTAGAGATTCTCATTCACATCTGCCTGATCCTGGGGCTCTTATTCTGGGGCCTGTTATTCCGGCCCAAGAATCCATACCTCTTCCAGGGCAAGGGACAGTATTGTCATCTCTTAGATCTCAGATAGCTCCTAGAGGAGGCTTATGCAAAGTCAGATGCTTGTCAATATTAACAACCTTATTGTTTGTCCGTTCTCTATCAATTTAGGATTTCCCTTCCAGATAACAGCATTGTTCCTAAAGGAATGGTTTATTTTTATATATAAATAATTATTGATTAATAAGAAAGTTTTAATGAAATTTTTTGCAGAAAGAGTTTTAAGAAATTAGGGTTTAGTGAAGGAAACAAAATGTATGCAGATAAATAAATGTTGTGAATATGATCAAATATAATAAAGTTGTAAGTAGCCAAATCCCTAAACTATTTAGCTATTGTGGCTCATAGCCACTTTCAGAATGGTCCGTAGGCCCAGGTCTAATACTTAACCAGTGGTTTTCAATGTGAAATGATTCTGTCCTGCAGAAGATATTTGGCAATGTCTGGAGACACTTTTGCTCACCAGGACTGTGGAGGTACTACTTGCATCTAGAGGCCTCGGGTACTGCAAAACATCCTATAATTCACAGGACATTCCCCTGCCACAAAGAATTATGCAGTGCAAAATGTCAATAGTGCCAAGGTTGAGAAATCTTGTACTAGATGACTAAAACATGGTGGAATTATCTACTGTTCTCAGGTTTAAATCAGCACCAAGAATAAGAGCAGGAAGAGCTGGGATCTCCCAGGTTTATAAGTGAAGTTCTAGAAACTGCAAATTCCCAAGCACACTACTGTCACCTTCAGCTGATTCAAGAGAAGTACATGATTCTGCAAGCTGCAATGGAGACAGGGAGGATTTAAGGTTGACACGCACTTAATCCCCAGTGAATCTAAGTTTTAAGTCGCAGTGTACAGGTGTGCAAGAAGAAACTCCCAGCTTTCCTGGATTCACAGAGAGTCTGTATCTCCTGACAACTTCTACCAAGGTAAATAAAACTATTATATATTTTGGCAGTTTTTAACTACTTCACATTTTTAATTTAGTATTAAAATTTAATAAGAACTGCTGGAGGAAAAAACACTCACAAAAAACAAAGGAGATAAACAAAGACTATGCAGGGTCTCCATCATTGCTGTTCCTATCCTCTGCCCTCCCCATTTTCTTACTTGGTAGACTATTCATTCAATGATGGAGCTAAGGAGGCCACAGAGCACACTATAAACAAAGAAGGAATGGTTTTGTAGAGTTAACTTCTTAGTAATAACAAAATAGGGAGAAAGACATTTAAAGAAAGTACTAGGAATGACAGACAGGAATAGTGAAATACACAATTATCAAGTTCTGTCAACATCAAAATATGTTTTTCCTGTGACAAGGAGCTTTGGTCTATTGAGTCAGATAGCACTGAGAACAAGCTGAGAACAAAATAACTAAAGAGAACAAATTGCCACATCTATAAGGTCTATGAGAGGACACTACAACCTAGGAAGGAACCACCGCTAGCGTAGTTTCACTCTGGTGCTGAAACTCCAACAGATACATGAATCTATTAAACAGAAAGGTAAATATTACAGAAATGTTCAGTTTGGTATAACAAGAGAATTCATAAATTATCATGAGAGTAAGAAAAGCAATACATGACACTTCTTAGCTCTCCCTTAAGGACTTCTATTGAGACTTAAGTCCTGAAGAATTTCACGAATTGGAAACAAAAATAAACTTATTTCTTATTGTGGAGGTCTGGGTGGGAATTCTATAGGACTGCTCTATCTTTCCCCTCATAAACTAAAATGTGGGTTCCTTTAGGGCAGGTAGACATGGAAATATATAAAGGAACAATTACAACAAAATTTCCCAAAATCTACACATAAAAAAACTATCGTTAATAACACAGTGTGATATGATGGCTCTAAGAAAACCTTTGGTTAATAATTGTTCAAAAAAGAAAACCAAGTGTTCCAGGTCATTTACTATCCAAGGACAAATAAATCATGGATGCTATGAAATACAATATAATGGCATTCAACAAGTGACCTACTTTAAAAATCTCACAAAAACCACTTGCATAAGAAGTCAAAGAGAAGTACTATTTCAGCATTAAGGATTTCTCCTGGGTTAAAGAATGACAGTAAAATAATTATATGTGTGGGACTTGGTTCAATTATTCTATAAGAGTCCTTGGTTGCACAAGTCCCGTTAAAGTAATACTTGAATTAAAATTTTTTTTTCTTATAGCATAAATATTTTCCAGAGAAAAGTAGATATATGATAGATAATTTTTCTGATGACAAAAAGTCCACAACCCACAATGTGGCCGAGCTGTTTGTTTTCCTCACCTAGAAAATCGGGAAATTGGCCTAATCTCTAGTACTGCTCAGTCTGAAATTCTGATTCTAGGCTCGCGGTTTTAACAGGGTTTCGAAAATTTGCATTGCTTCTGTTGAAACATTTTAAAATCGCAATAAAAGCACACATTTCCCCCCCAACCTGCCCCAGTATCCCTAGTTTTAAGTTTCCATGAAAATACTGTGGGGAGTTGCAATGCACACGGTAAAAGAAGGAGAGTATATCTACATTAAATGCAAAACAATTATGCTTAATGTTCATGTCAATTGGGGCTTTGGTAGTGTACGAAGGGAAAGTTTTGCAAAATTCATTTAAATTAAAATCCTGTTATTTTTCACACGATTTAATTTATTAAATGAGACTGCCTTCCTAATGAGGATCTCATTCTAGGTTAGGAATCAGCCAGAAGGTATGCCCTTGCTTGAATTTAGGTTTTGCTTTATTGAGAACTTCATGTGAAGGAGCCTGCTGAGCATATTTGTTCTTGGCAGTGTGTTAGCAAGTCTGCCCAGATTGTCATGTTGGTGGATATTCGTTTAGGGAAAAGAAGCTGCGTAGGGTCTACAATTTTGAAAACTAACTGCAAGGATTTGTCAAGACATTTTTTTATTGCTACCGATATACAAAAGGGGAAAAACATTATTATTGTCCAAAACAAATATTTCCTATTTTATTATAAAGACCTCCACAGTGATTACAGCTGACGAATTTCTATGCAACTATCCCTCTATCATAATTGTCACATAACAATACAGTATTTCTTTTATTTAAAAATATTATACAAATCTCCTAGTGATATACAGCCCTTAACACAGGAGATTCATGTCACCTTTCTCTGCTGCTGAGTCACAATACTCCTCCATAAGGCAAGAACCTTTCGCTCCCAGAGTTACAGCCATTTTAAAATGACAATCCTGCCTCTTTACTGCACTTGCGCAGGTTTGGATCTGCTCCATGGTATTCCTCTTTTTTTTTTTGAGACAGAGCTCACTTTGTTTGCGCCAGGCTAGAGGTAGTCATGGCTCAGCCATAGCTCACCGCAACCTCAAACTCCTGGCTCAGCATCTGCTGCCTCAGCTCCGAGTAGCTGGGACTACAGGCATGCGCCACCATGCCCAGCTGATTTTTTCTATATATATTAGTTGGCCAATTAATTTCTTTCTACTTATAGTAGAGATGGAGTCTCACTCTTGCTCAGGCTGGTTTTGAACTCCTGACCTCAAGCAATCTGCCCACCTTAGCCTCCCAGAGTGCCAGGATTACAGGTGTGAGCCACCGCGCCCGGCCTCCATGGTATTCCTTTATCCTCAACAGAACAGCACTTCCAATTGCTGGCACTTGAAAATATCCAAATCATCCGTCCTTTAAAAAGCAACTAGGTAGAAAGTTATGAAAGTGGTTCCCCACACAGTACTTATGATAACCTCATGTTTGTCATATTAAAACCACCTGTTAGCGGAAAGCCACTCAAATAATATCCTTCTAGAAATTCTAAAACCTACAATTCAAAGAAGGCGCTTATTCAACAATAAAATTAAGTATTTTAAGATAAAGAATATCAAAATGTAATTAGAATCTAACCAATCAGCAGGTTTTCCAGTGCAGCCCATACTCACCTCTCCCGAGGAACAGCAAACCAGTACTCAGGCTGCTTTCTTCGTTTGCCGTACTGCTGGACCATGGCTGCGGTGTGAGTGGCAAAGGATTTTCTCATTGGTTTTCCCACTTTGATGCACAGGAACATGGGTGGGGTCTTGCTTTTTTCTTCTTTTGAAGGAAGTATATCTGAATCACACATGAAGAAACCTTCCTCAATATTGACAATGTTGGTGACAGAACTTTTCACCTTACGAAGAACAGTGTCCAATCCTCTTAGTCAAAATATGATAGAAATACCATACAACTATATCATATGATGACTAAGAAAATTTTTAGACTTTCTTTAGCACAAAACATAAAAGCTCTGCATGTTTTAGGATGGACTACATCACATGAGATGCTACATACTAAAAATAAGCATACAGACCAACAGAAGAGCAAATAATGGAGAATTGTGACAATCCACCAGAATCCACCTTAATGAATGGTCCTGAGGACCCAAATACACCAGAACGCAATTAAGTACAGAACTGAAATCTCTTCAAAAAACATTTTAAATTCCTTTAGATTTGGAAATTCAAGGTAAAAAAAGAAAATTACTTGAAAGATTTTTTAAAAAGTAAACTATTTTTGAAGTAAAACTCTAGAAATTTATGTCATAGTTCAAGTTCCTAAAGTGGGGTATCATATCTTGCAAATTCTCACCCCCATTATTAATGCTATTAGCATGAATATTCTATCGAGAAAATATTGTTCTCAAACTACTTTGGTATTACATGTATCAGTTTTAGAAGGCAATTATATGACAGAATACAAAGACATTAAAGAAAAATAGCTTACCTTCAATGGGTACTTGAATTCTCTTTAATAGCCATAACTGAATTTCTGATTTATTATCTGTTTGTGTGCCTGGACAGCTATTGTCCAGAGTAGATTCCAGAGGGGAGTCTAGAGACTCTTTAATCATATTTTCTTCTGTAGAAGAGTCCAGTTTCATTGGAAGGGGCTCTCCCTCTTTCACTGAGGTTTTATCTGGCTCTTTATTTCCCTCAATTGAGGGATCACCTGCCTGAGAAACAGAACTACTAAGGGTGATGTCTATTCCCTCTGGTTCGATACTTTTGCCATCACTTAATTCTGTCTTCTGCAAATTTTCAGATAACTGTGACCCCTCTTTGTTCTTATGAAGGTAATACTCAATAAGTTTCACTTTATCGAGATCTTCATGTATGTTCAGTGTGTTTTCCACCTGGCTTTCTGGGGAACCAGACTGCTTGTCCACTTCTGGCATTATGTCTTGCTTCTCACAGGCTTCTAAATCTAGGGCCCCCTTCAGTTCAGCATCATTCCCTGTTCCTGAAAAGTTCAAGGCTGACTGTACCTGCATTTCCATAGCAGAATTAATTCTTTGCAACTCAGCCCTCTTTAGCTCCTCTGGGTCAAGAGAAAGGCACTCCTTCGAGGTGTCTCTTTTGTTCAATCCACTATCAGTTTGAGAAGAAAGTTCTTCCAAGTCCACGAAGTCATCATCTTCTCCTAAAAGGAAGTTTTCTTTGGCTGAAGATTCAAATGTAGCATGAGTGTCAGAAGGTTCCTTGCTGAGCTTAGTCACTGTGGGAGAGTCACTAGTTGTCTCCCTAGAAGATTCCAGTGTCTTTAATTTTTCTGACACAGAGCTGCCTGAGGGCTTCAGATGTGTGTGTTCTATTGATTTCTCCAAAGGTCCTGTTGATTTGGAATCTGAAGTAATGGTTCTCTCTCCACTCTGCTGTCGTTTTTCTTTGTTGATGGATTTGAACTTACTGAATGGGTTGATATCCTTTTCTGAAGCCAGGTCTTCCCATTCTCCAGGCCTGTACAGAGGACAAAGATCCTGAGGTAGGTCACTGTTGGGGGAAAAATGGTGGGTGCACATGGAATGTTAAAAATAAAATCAAAAACAAAATGGAGGAAAGGCAAAAAACAAAACTAAAACCCAACCAAAAACCAAAACATAAATATACCATAACATAAATTTATGTTTAAATGATTTCAGAACAAGAAAATAAAATCAAGAAATGAACTTCAAAATGAAACATAACTCAACTAAAAGAAATGGCAAAAGAATGAACCATGAGAGTTGCACATTCCTACTAGAAGCACACAATGGTTTTGGAAGTTACACATGAATATGGAGATGTTACCCATAAGATTTTAAAATATGAAATCTTCATAATAATGTTTCTGATTTTCATGAAGGACAAAGGAGAGAAAATATTTTAGTACTAAAGTCTAAAACTTTTCCTTTTTATAAAATAGTATAGAAAATACTACATTAACTCTAAAAGGCTCACTGACTTAGTAGCTACTCATTTAACTGCTCTATATAAAGTAACTAACCTTGAACCCTGATTTGGGGTTTCATGGCTTAGGATTTGATAGTTCTAATCACGGATACCCCTCCACTCCCCAAAGGAGGTGCAAGAGAAAGCTTCCACTATTATTGTGAATATAGAGCAGTTGCACCATTTTACAGTTTAAAAATGTGTAAAAGTAAATCTTATCAAAAAAGCTCTTATGTATAAAACTTAGTTTAAATTTCTTAATTAAACATCTCTTTTATAACAATATCATTTTACTTTATGAAATAGGGCAACTGGTTTATCAGCTGAAACATACTGTCTTGGAATTTAGTTAATTATTTTTCCTTAATAACAGATGCTTTACTACCTAGATTTGAATTACACAAAAATATTGGTTAAACATGTTCTTCTGAGCTTAAAATAAATAGTCAAGAAACATATACTTTAAAACAAATATGACTGGAAATATCTTAAGCGACCCTGTATTTCCACTTACCACAACCAGTAGTAGTGCCACTATGGGGTTAAAAATGCAGAGATATAAAAATCCTTTTAAAAAATAACATTTTCAATTTCAGAAATAATTTTACTTTCTAAAAAGGCAAGATCATCTTTAAGTAATACTTTATTATTCTGGTTTTGAAATAAATGGTTATGACAATAAAACAACAAAGTACCAGGCAGTTTTGAAGTTACAAGAAGACTGTCTTCCCAAAGTTATAGAAATCTCTTGAATAGAAAGGTCCATGCTTTTTCCAGTAGAAAATAAAAGCCTACATAATTGCTTGGCTCTGATAAATGCTTAAAAAAGCTTCTTTAATTCATAACTCATTTCAACTGAATGAGCATTCATTGAGCCCCTAAGTACTATATTATAAAATACAATTGTGACAGAGTCTCTGTTCTGCAGGAACCTGCATATACAAAATGTTCTGCCCAGCACTAGTATCCCAGGATACATTGAAGATGCTTCAATCCCAGAGTCAAGCAAGTTATTGTAATGTAGCATAATCTCCACAATGGAAGTAAAAATTTAATTTCGCATATTCAATGCTGTAAGAAGAAACTCAGCTCTCTACATGCTTAATTAATAACTAAAACTTTCTTCCTAAACATCCAAGCTCCTTTCTCAACTCTTCCTTCCCTACCTAGCTTGACTCCCCAGATAATTAGCCTCCTAAATTACCTTGTCCATCTCTCCCTTCCTGTTCTTCTATCTAATCCAAGCTGGCAACATCCTACTTGGGATTAATTTAACCACCTGATTTTTCTGCATTGCAGCTGCCAAGCACAGCTGGGGCAAAGCACATAGTGGTGTCAACTGGCTTTATTGTTAATTAGTGTTTTCCAGACTTAGCCAGGCACCTAATGATGATCAATAACCCCTTCACAGTTGTTTCCTTCCTACAATGTGGCAGCTGGAGTTACAAAATGTCCTGCACAAACATACATTACAGAACTTGAAGGTGAGGAGAGATGTCATAAACACTACAATATTTTTTTTTCTTTTTTTGAGAAAGAGTCTCTGTCACTCAGGCTGGAGTATAGTTGTGCTAATGTAGCTCACTGCAGCCTCAACTTCCCAGGCGTGGCCTCCTGAGTAGCTGGGACTATAGGCACAGGCCATCATGCCCAGCTAATTTTTTAATTATTTTTTGTAGATACAGAATCTTGTTATGTTTCCCAGAAAGGTCTTGAACTCCTGGCCTCAAGTGATCTTTCCACCTTAACCTCCCAAAGTGCTGTGGTTATAGGTATTAGCCACTGTGCCTGGCCCACACACTGACTTTCAAAAACTACTTGCACACTGCAGCCAGATAATTTACACTTAATATTTTACCATTATACTTTTAGGAATAATGACATTTTAAGCAATTTTAAACTTTTAAATGATTGATGAAATTCTGAAGACAATACAAAGTTTATTTCATACTGATTCCACTCACATATTCTTGCTCTTTAGACTAAAAATCCTTAATATACCTGCATCCAAGGCAGGAATCAATCAATGCACAACCCTGAAAAAATTTCAACAAACTGGAAGCCAATTCATAACTCTTCTCCCTTCCTGTAGTCACAGCATTATCCCTGAATTCTAGATCATTAAACATAATGTCACACTGAGAAAAAAAAATTTTTTTTAGGATGTACCTTTCCTTTCTATTATTAAAGAGAATACTTAATATCCTAGGCTGAAGATGTACAATTGTATTACTCCATTAAAAGTCATTTCCCAGTAAGAAATGACCCTATTTCACTGGCCATCTATCTACTTCTAAACTTACCTATATCTTTACCCACTCTTCTTCTTTCCTTGTGTTGCAGAGAGCCCAAAATTCATGCCTTCCTTCTAAAACTAGCTCTTTCACTTCCTCTCCTCCTCCTCATCCAAGAGTCCGAGACAGTGGGACATTCCCCTATATGGGTTCTCATGAAACACTGTGTGTGTTGCTATTTTTATAGTGCCATTTAATTACGACTCCTGTCCACGTATCTGCTGCACCCAGAAAACTTCAGGCTCCTCCAGGGCACAGCCATAACCCACTCAACTTCATATGCTTGGCACGAAAGAGGCATGTGCTAAGATGCATCAGAAGCCTCAGTCCGCATGGATAACAAGATTGCCATATGAACTAAAAGTTCAAATAATAACAGCCCACACTTATTAAACACCAGGCTTTTTTTCTAGGAGTTTTAGTATATCAATGTGTTTAGTTCTTACAACAGCTTTGTAAGCTGAAGAATACTATTAACTCCATTTTACAGAAGAGAAAACTGAGGTACAAGATTGAGTAACTCACGTAGGTCATGGGGCCATATGCGGCAGAGCCAGAGAAGCCCAGGCAGTGTGACTCCAGACCAGATCGCCGTGCAGTGCTGCCTTACTACATGCCTCCCACACCCCTCACCTGAACACTTCTGGCAGCAGCATTTAGATACCACTTCAGTGCCCATGATCTGGTGGTATCTTCAATGGCTTGGGGCTGGGTAGGGACTGAGTGGGTCACATGCTAAGGACCATAGGCATCCAGGGGAACCTGCTTCTGTAAACCCCCATGGATTCTGTGTCTAGGTTCGTTCCCTAGTCACCTTCCCTTTTTTTCAGATGAGTCCCAAGGGCAAAGGACAGTGAAAATCAGATTATCCCTATAAGTTAATATTGATTCCCTAAACATTCTTAACCCTTTCTTCATGGGGAGCTTCTCTCTCTCTCTCTTTTTTTTACAATAAACCCAGCATTATAAGGCAAAAGTAATTAGGACTAAAGTAATATTCATCTATGCTTCAGAGAAAAAAACCAACTAATATTATTCCCTCTTTGCACCATGGGGGTGGAGGGTGGCTGCTACACGGTCCACTCAAACCTCTCTCCATGCAGGATTAAGGGAGGATATGAGGCAGGAAGACTGCCTTTCCCTAGAATTTAAATGAAGACAAATATAACTCTCCTTAATTAAACCCAAAAGAAAGCATTATTCTCACTTATTGGTAATCAGACTAAAATTCTTTCAGAGAAATACCATTTCTCTTTTCATAAATTTATTAAGAACACAAAATTGCTTTTCAGAAAAATAAGCCAAGCAAACACCATTTTTACATGCTGGTTTCTTTGCTTTTCTCCTTTCTGTTCAACTTTCCCCTATCATTGACTTTATCATTTCCATTTCTTCTCATTTTTCTATTTTTTGTATTTAGTGCACAAATCATCCACCTTCAAATTCACCTCCATGCAATCCCTTGATCCTACAAATGTCCTCATTTTTTAACTGCATGTAATTTTCTTAATACCCTTTTTATTGTGGTAAACAAAGAAATGTCTCTTACGATGGCAAGGCATCTTTGATCTTCATGTGAGAAATGTCGTTGTAGAGGGCAATGGAGACCACCTCTTCCATGGGGCAGATGAGGCCATACTCTTCACACCCATTTTCGATAACCAAGGGATCGGACTTATGAGGGTCAAACATGATGTTGTTAGGAGTGACAATCATGACACCTCCAACCACACCCTGCAGGAGAAAGCACGGGACAGAATCACTCCAGGGAGAAATGCTTTCAGCAACCACCACAGAAGCTTTCATTGACTCACACTGCCATTCCACGGACAATGAACCACAGTCTCCTACGTGACAATCACATCCTCTATATGAGGGCTGGAAGATCAGGCTGAAGAAATGCAATGCTGGGTGCTGAATGGACAGGCAGAGAAAACAGACTGGCCTTGCTGTGGCAATCAACCAAGCCCAATTCTAGCACAGCCGCTGCAACAGCACAACTGCAGAGCAATCCTGGTTCACACATGTGTGTCTCAGATGTCCTAGTTCTCTGTAAAATAAGAGGGGCTATTCCAAGTGCTTTCCAGATCGAGACCATGGGGCTTTACAATTCACTTAGCAAGTCTTCACCAAGTGTATTGTGCTAAGAGAGCAGCTTTCTCAGAATCATGGTGCCAAAGAATAGCCTCAATATTCTTCTCTAAAATGTTTATAAAGTCTACATCCAGCAAAATCAACCTCAATTAGGAATATGAAATCTTTGCAGCCAGAGTGAATATAGCTGATCTATGGAAAGTAAAAACATAAAGCAGTAGCTGGGTGGGATCTTAAAAGTCTAAAGACTTTTAGATTTTGGTCAGATTACATTACAGACCTTAATGGCAACAGGGATATTATCTACCATGGACAGAAGGATACAGATGACTCCCTCAAGGTAGGTAATTTATTCTGGTACTGTTAATGAGTCTAGTGATCATCTTTGTGAAAAGTTTTGTAGATCCACTAATCTCATTACTGGGTATATATCCAAAGGAAATGAAATCAGTGTCTCAAAGAGATATCTGCACTCCCACATTTATTGCAGCATTATTCACAACAGCCAAGATATGGAATCAACCTAAGTGTGCATCAATGGATAAATGGATAAAGAAAACGTAATATATGTATACAATGGAATATTATTCAGCCATTATAAAAAGAAATCCTGTCATTTGCAACAACGTGGATGAACCTTATGTTAAGTGAAATAAACCAGGCACAGAAAGACAAATACTGCATGATCTCACTCCATGTGGAATCTAAAAAAGTTCACCTCATAGAAGGAGAGAATAGAATGGTGGTTACCAGAGCCATGGGTGGTTAGGAGGAAGGGAGAGATGGGGAGATGCTGGTCAAAGTCTTTGTAATTACAGTTAGATAGGAAGAATTAAAAATGTCCAGCCGGGCGTGGTGGCTCACGCCTGTAATCCTAGCACTTTGGGAGGCCGAGGCGGGCGGATTGCTCAAGGTCAGGAGTTCGAAACCAGCCTGTTGCTGTGAGCTAGGCTGACGCCACGGCACTCACTCTAGCCTGGACAACAAAGTGAGACTCTGTCTCAAAAAAAAAAAAAAAAAAAGAATGACAGTAAAATAATTATATGTGTGGGACTGGTTCAATTATTCTATAAGAGTCCTTGGTGCACACAGTCCTGTTAAAGATAATTAACTTGAATTTAAAAATTTTTTTTCTTATAGCATAAATATTTTCCCAGAGAAAAAGTGATATATGATAGATAATTTTTCTGATGACAAAAGTCCACAAAACCCACAATGTGGCCGACAGTGCTTTGTTTTCCTCACCTAGAAAATCGGAAATTGGCCTAAATCTCTAGTACTGCTCAGCTCTGAAATTCTGATTCTAGGGCTCCGGTTTTAACAGGGTTTCAGAAATTTGCATTGCTTCTGTTGAAACATTTTAAAATCGCAATAAAAGCACACATTTCCCCCCCAACCTGCCCCAGTATCCCTAGTTTAAAGTTTCCATGAAATACTGTGGGAGCTGCATGCACAGGTAAAAGAAGGAGTATATTACATAAATGCAAAACAAATTATGCTTAATGTTCATGTCAATGTGGGCTTGTGTGTAAGATAGGGAAAAGTTATTAGCAAATTCATTAATAAAAATCCTGTTATTTTTCACATTACATTATAATTTATTAAAATGAGACTGCTCTCCTAATGAGAATTATCATTCTAGGTAGGAATCAGCCAGAAGGTATGCCCTTGCTTGGAATTTAGTTTTGCTTTATTGAGAATTCATGTGAAGGAAGCCTGCTGAGCATATTTGTTCTTGGCAAGTGTGTTAGCCAAGGTCTGCCCAGATGATCATGTTTGATGACTACTTAGGAAAAGGCAAGCTGCGTGGGTCTAACAATTTTGAAAACTAACTGCAAGGCATTTGTAAAGACATTTTTTTATGCTACCACATATACAAAAGAAAAACATTTCATTATTGTCCAAAACAAATATTTCCTATTTTTATTATAAAGACATCCACAGTGATGTACAGCTGACGAATTTCTATGCCACTATCCCTCTATCATAGATTGTCACATAAACAATACAGTATTTTCTTTAATGATTTAAAAATATTATACAAATCTCCCTAGTGATATACAGCCCCTTGAACCTACCCAGGAGATTCCATGTCACCTTTCTCTGCTGCTGAGTCACAAATACTCCCTCCATAAGGCCAAAGAACCTTTCGCTCCCCAGAGTTACAGCCATTTTTAAAATGACAATCCTGCCTCTTTACTGCACTTAGCAGAGTTTGGATCTGCTCCATGGTATTCCTCTTTTTTTTTTTTTTTACCTTAATGGCAACAGGGATATTATCTACCATGGACAGAAGGATACAGATGACTCCCTCAAGGTAGGTAATTTATTCTGGTACTGTTAATGAGTCTAGTGATCATCTTTGTGAAAAGTTTTGTAGATCCACTAATCTCATTACTGGTATATATCCAAAGGAAATGAAATCAGTGTCTCAAAGAGATATCTGCACTCCCACATTTATTGCAGCATTATTCACAACAGCCAAGATATTGAATCAACCTAAGTGTGCATCAATGGATAAATGGATAAAGAAAACGTAATATATATACACAATGGAATATTATTCAGCCATTATAAAAAGAAATCCTGTCATTTGCAACAACATGGATGAACCTTAGTTAAGTGAAATAAACCAGGCACAGAAAGACAAATACTGCATGATCTCACTCCATGTGGAATCTAAAAAATTCACCTCACAGAAGGAGAGAATAGAATGGTGGTTACCAGAGCCATGGGTGGTTAGGAGGAAGGGAGAGATGGGAGATGCTGGTCAAAGGCTTTGTAATTACAGTTAGATAGGAAGAATT